GGCTGCCACCGGAGGGCCCGGTCCTTGGCTAACGCCAGTAGGGCGCCCCGCAGCTACTGGCCCTGGTCGTTTTGTTAATGAGCGACCGAGGACTGTTCCGCGTCGGCGTGCGCGACGGCGGAAGCTGGCGCGCAGCTCTCCGCCGCGCGGTGATCTTTCTTCCCACAGCGAAAGCAGATGAGGGAACGATTGTTTCGCCCAGCGCTACCGCGGTAGGACCCGCGACGTCGATCGCTCGACGTTTTGATGGCGTCGATCTCCATGGGTTCGGGGGTAGGCTCTCGGGCTTCCACAGGTATGGCTGCGGTGTACGATGCAGCGACCATGTAATCCTCGCGAATCGCGAGTGCAAATGTCTCCTCGAGAGAGGAGGGCTCAGCTCTGGTAAGCCAATAACGCGTCATCCCCTCGCGCATGCCAAACACAAATACGTGGACTTGCGAGGCCATGTCGTTTGGCTTGGTCATGATGCATGATGTCAGATGTCGCGTCTTCTGGACGTAATCACGCATGGACACTTCCCTTGCCGAAGAGCGACGAACTCTGCACGAGCGCAAGACTCATCTTGCGGGAGCTCGAACGCGAGGCGCAAGTTGCTCTGATGAGTTAAGAAAGCCTCGGCGATAACAAACTTGCCAAGGGTCCATCTTCCTGGCTATCCGGGAGAGGAGGAAGTTCACCTTGGCGGATGTGCCTCGATGAGTCGCGAGGCGATCGCGATGTCGATCTCGCGGAACCACCGATTTAGCGGGAGCCGGTTTTAGCCGGCGCCAGAATACGTAGACGTCTCCAGCTTGACGATATTATTCTAGGATGGACGCGAGGGCGTTGATACCCGCCGATTCGCATCACCAAGCTCGCGTTCCATAAACCCTTGTGCTGCAAGACGTTGCTGGTCGGGCGTCGCTGAGCTCAGCAGCGATGCGTTTCCTCGAACGAGGCATATGCCATAACGTGGGCATTCTTTGCCTACTGCCGAATTTTCTTTCGCTCGAGTCGCGTTGGCACGGAGCTCACATAAGCCCCTGTCTCGGCCAGGCCCCTGTCTGTTGGAGGTCCTGGGTGTCTTTCCACCGATGTAACAGTAATTTGGTGGATCTGGTGCTGTTTCTCAGATGGTTTTGTGCTGTAATCATCGTTTTCTTCGGGCCCAAGGACCAGTGTAGAGATGATGGAGCCCTCGTCGTGGATGGTTTCGGCAATATAGGATGTCGCTATAGTTTCAAAAGTCGAGGAGTTCTCATTTACAATATCCTCGCAAAGATTGCCATTGCCTTTGCTAGATAAATACCCAACCGCGTCGTCCGCCACTGCTGCCCTACACACGGTGGTGCTGGATGTCGTAGTCGGTTCAGTGGCATCGATGGCTTCTTCGTGAGGCTCGCCCTCCGAGTAGGAGCTCCCTTCCACATTTCCTCGCATCCAGATCGATGCTGCATGATAGCTGATTCAACTGCAGCTCTAACCATTAACGTCAACGCCCTAGCAAATTAGCTGGACCGCGTAAGAGCATTCCACTCGCCAGGAATAAGCTTGTATGTTCTCAGTTTGCGCCATTTACCGTAAGCTGACATTAAGCGATTGCCGAATCGGTCAGCTTGTAGCCGCATCATCATGTTTCGAGGCATCACATCTCCTGTGTCTAATTGGATAATCGGCATTAATGTCGTCGCCGATACGCAAGACGATCGTCGACCGATATCCTCAAGTGTCTCCAAAATCGAACGCCCTAGAATAATACTCAAGTCTATCCCCAGCATAAAGAGACGCCGAGGAAGGTTCTGAGGCGACAAGTCCCGTCATCGTTGGTCTGTAGGTGCCGGGCACAGCGCGGCACTGGTGAGGCCGAGGCCGACTGAAAGGAATGATGTTTGTCGGGGACATGACGACCCCGCACTATTGCTACCTTCAGGGCACATCGAATCTTCGCTGGTCCAACCTTCAAAGCACATTTGATTTTTGTCGCTCAAACCATCGGTGCACATTATTACGACCGAAGAGCGGCCACATGGGTTTGGGCTCCATCAGACAGGCTGCAAGGGCTGCCCTTTAACTGCCAGTGTGTTTTAAATCGGGTATGAGTTTGTGTGATATTCATATCGGTAGTGTGTCCTTCACGTTTCCTCACTGTATGACCTTATTGGACCTGTGCCAAAATCACAAGATATCTGTGATTTTCCCATGAAACTTTATAAAATGGCCTCTATGCTTATTGAGGGATGCAAAAGAGAGCGTGATGTGTCAAGTTTATAGGCGGCTAAGAATCGCCTGAAACGGCCTGTAGGAGAGTACATAGCTCTCGAACATATTTTGCTTACCATGTAAAATATGTTCGAGAGCTATGTACTTTCAAGCTGGTAAATAAAAAATGAGGGCCATCATGGAGAGGATTCGGATAAAAAGTCTATGTCCGGATAAAGAGAAAGCCGACAGCCAGTCACTGCTGTACACTCTTCATTGGTCAAGGTTCCACCAATAAAATGATACCATTAAGTGCTCACTGAGGCACACTCCGCACTCTGTCGCCGACAGCAACAGCCGCGGCTCCTTCGTCTATTTTTCAGTCTTATTACGCAGAGCTCCTGATGCCCCGACATCCTCCTCACCTAGCCAACTGGTTCGTACTGTCTTCCCCCCCCCCCACCTCTACGACGTCGAAGCTCATGGTGAGCACCTAGTACTACTTCGAGAATTTCTGGCTCGATTCCAGTCGTCGCCACTGTTTTTGATTCGGGGTGAGGATTCGTGAGCGTTGCTGTACCAGGTTTGTTTGCTGTAATTCGATGTGGTATTGCTAATTGTGATGTACGTATATGCATTACAGATGTATGCTCCTGGCTTCCTATAGTTCCAAAGTATCGTAGTCCCAGGCCCAAGCATGTCTTGTCGATCGGGGTTTTGACAGTACCGGCTTGGATGTGCTTGTGGTGGCGCACGATCCGGTAGTTAAGTGCACCAGCAGCGTTAATGTCATGGGGGTGCTTGCAGACGGAGGTTGATCCCCGCGACGTATTATTACGCTTGCGCAGGAGCCCAGCACCTCTGTATCGGCTTGCTTACCCAATGCAAGAACTCTGTCGTGGAAGTCGCCAGCGCTTGGGTCTAGAAAGAAGCCTTCCGCAATGAAGAGTTTCATTAATGCGTCAAGCTGTTTTGCGCTCGAGTGCTGCTGCTTTGGCGCAGCAGCAGGCCAGCAAGCCTCCTGGACTACCACCAGTACCACGTCGTGTGCAAGTGAGTGACGGAGGTTCATCGACTCTTGGATGGAATGCTTGGCTCTTGTTCTTGATCTTGATTCAGCTGACGTTTGTCACTCTGTTTGCCGCCCTCTATTTTAGCTTCTAGGATACCCATGCGTTCATTTTGGCGCTTCACTAGCTGAACTAATTGGTCAATCACTCTACGTTGGTCTTCAATGAGCGTGTTGTCGTGGCTCAGCTGCTTGGGTGGTGCGGTGTCTCTGTCGTCTATGGTCAGGTTCGTTTCGCAGGCAGCGCCAGAAAGATGGGTCGACCAAGCAAGCAAGTCCGCAAGCGACGATCCTGCCAGTCGTACACAGACCTGGTCCAAGCGCTTCGCCGCTGGCCCCTCTGGGTGGGCCTCCTCAGCTGCGGATAGCGGAGAAGAAGGTTAATCCGTTAACAAATCAAGGACAGACTCACGTTGTACTTAACTTGATTCAGCTTGAAGCACGTTGCGAATAGGTACGCCTGGACAGCTTCGATTTTCTCGTGCGTCTGCGCGTCGAAATACTGTAAGTCCTTCAAAGGCACCGTAGCGGTGGTGCTGTATCCAGTGAGAGCCTTGCTAACCTTGCGATCTTCGCGGCTTGTGTTGAAGATGTAATTGCAGCCCTTGTTCGCTGTGTTCATTTTCTAGGCACCACGGTCGAAGATCCAGCGATGTTAGAGGCCATCATATCCACGTGCTGTGCTCCGCCCCGGCGAAACGAGTGGGACTTAAACGCTAACGACCGTAGTTGCGGGGTGCAGCATTCCTCAGTATGTATGGACGGATCGGAAATCTGTATTGGGAAGAAAAGAATACGTCCTAAACGAGTCCTAAAATGTCATATTTGTCCTAAAAACATCTCCGTTGCTTATCTGCTACTATAAATCTTTAAATTTATAAAAATATCAGTGTTCTTTAATTAGATAGACAACGTGCCGTGTCCTATTATTCGAGGCTTCTCAGACGGAGGGATACATATTCGTATTGATTAATTCGCTCCAAAACCAAGTAGCTTGTGCAACTGGCTGTTGCGAATAATTAGTTTAAGCAGAATAATTGATTGGAAAGGCCGATTAACACACGAAATAGTCACTGTAGTTAATCCGAGGACCGGCAGTGCCGTTAGTTTTCCTCCAGCAAAGTCTGTCCATGATGGACTACATCGTCCGGCGCAAATGCGAGAAAACCGTCGATTCTTATACATGTGTAAAAGATTCTTTCAACTTACCGGTACATGTATTTAAAAAAGCTCATCGACGAAGAAGAACTATCGCACCTGACTTGTAAACATAGCATTTAGAACAAGATTGTGCCGGACTCGGTATAAAAATATGAAGCGTACCCTAATGAGTACGATCTCTGTTTGTTAGTTCAGTGGATAGCTGTAGCTCGGATAATTCAGTACTGTACATGTACTTAACAGCGTTGTCATATCGCGCTGATAGCAGACTCCCAGAGACTCTATACCGAGTATTAGTATCAAATGGAATGCGCGTAAACACATCATTTTAGAGCAATACTACGTAGTATTACTTTTTTACGTGCTCTACCGATTACCACGGTACGCAGTAATCGTAAGTATTATTATGTGTTGACAAGTCATGTCCTCTTTTACGCCACAAAGTAACGGCATGACGAGCAATCCCAGGATCTGACCAAGTTGAAACCACAAAGCTCGCTGTAAAGCCTGCCTAATTTCCATTCCGAAACATTCGTCGTCGACAGCAACAGAGTTTCCCCGAGCCAACCCTGCGAGTACTATCACCAGCATGGGGTCGTCCAAGCTCGTGCTACTTGTTGCTGCTGCCATCTTGCTTGGTGTTGCTAACTGTGCAACCAGGCAGGTCGGTATTTCAAAAGGTGTCTCCTCTCAAATGGAGCACACAACATCGGTAAGCGAGAAGATTGATAGCGACGAAAAACCTTTTCTGAGATCTCTCAAAGAAACCAAGAGCGGCGCGAATGAAGAGAGAGCTGTTAATTTTTCTTTTTTGAAAAATTTGAAGAAGAACGTACCAGGAGCGGAGGCTTTAAAAAAGGCAGCGGCCGCAAGATCTGTCGCAACACAAGCGAAGAAGGCGAAGAATATGAAGCAAGCCGATCTGTTCAAGCTGTCGGGAATGAGAGATCATGAGATATTCCCGAAATTTCAAGAGTGGAGACAGATGGAGAAAACGTCGGGAGAAGCTGTAAATGGTGTTTTTCAGGCGATGAAGTCGAGTGGGATGACGAAACAGGAAGCCATCGCTATTGGCAACCAATATGCACGTTGGCTTAGCGTCTTTTAGTGAGAGCTGGCACATTCGTGCATTACTTGTTGCAGTAGTCGGACAGCCACAAGTTTGTCAGACTTTCTCTCCCCCCTCGTCAGAGTGATTTGTACATGTACATGTAGCTGTTGCTGCAGTACATGTACCATTTTTTCCTACATTAAAGAAGAAGAAAAGCGTAACTTTTTTTGGGTTGTCCTTGCAACTTGCGTGTAACAGTCTTAAGAGAAGGTCTACGCATCGGTGTACATGCCTTCGCTTTTAAGCAGCTGACTGATAGCAGTCACCAACTCACTCTGCGCGATATCAACACTTGGGTCCGCAATTTTCTGCATCAACAGACGATCCAAATGCTGGCGGATCGACTTGATCAGCACGCCGATACGAGCCACAGCGTTGAATCGTATATAGCCGTCAAGTGTAAGTAAATTCTTCTCGTGGATGACTTCTAGGTGGCCTCCAAACAGCAAGAGCGCATACGGATTCACCATAGTACTCTCACGTACAAAAATCTTGGAGGTCTGCACTAATTCCGTGTACAGCAGCCACGGCGAATCGTAGTTGTTCTGGGAAAAGTTACACGACGACGGGTGCAGAAACACACGCTCGCGCTGACCAGCTTCACTTGCAGAGCGTACGAAGTATCGGATCTGCTTGGCGTTGTGATCTTCCTCCACTACACCGTGTGCAGCTTGGAAGTACTTTTGCTCTGGGTACACCACTTGCGCCACATTCGCGTACAGACCAGCACAAAGTGCAGCCTTGATGATACGAGGCGCCTTCGAGTTCTCATTAAGGTGATCAGCGCTTGATGATTCGTAGAAACCAATATTGTCCAATTGCTGCAAGTACTGTTGCTTCAAGTCCAAGATCGACTCCATCGTGTCGTACGAGAGACCGATGTCACGACAGAATCCACGCTTCGACTTCTGTCCACGCAGAGGCGAATACCGCTCGACTAACTTCCACAGCAGTAAGTGGTCGCTCTTCCAGCTGCCACCCAGTTCTTTCTTGAGTGCATCCTGTTTAGCACGCAGCTCCGGGTCCGACATGCTCATCAAGAACGGGTTCCGACTAGAAATACAGGCAGCGATGATAGCGACAGGTTCGATGCAGCGTAGAATGGATCCGTACACCAGGAACTTGCCAATGCGAGCATCCAGCGGCAACATAGCCAAATGGTTACCCAGCGGCGTCAAGATCACTTCTTCGTCATTGTTGCCACGAAGCTTGTTCTTTGGCGACTCGCCTACGGTTCGGAGCGCTGCGATATCGACCAGTTCTTGGACAGCAGCATCGATGGCATCTTCCTTAGGCGGCTCGATCGCTTTGGACAGGAACCCCTTGATCGAGCCAAGTTCCAGTTTCTTAATCTGTAGACACAGTTGTTCCAGAGACACACGATGGATCTCAGCAGACAATTGCGCGTCCATGGCAGCGAACCGCTTGCGAGAAAACAATCGATAGCATGTTCCGGCCTGCACACGTCCAGCTCGACCCTTTCGCTGGTCACAGGCAGCACGAGAAGCCCAGCAGTCCAATAACTGAGAGCGTCGAGCTCGGTTGTCGTACACCATTTCCTTCACCTTTCCAGAATCGATCACAGCCGTAATGTCGTTGATAGTGATAGATGTTTCGGCGATGTTTGTGCTGACAATGACCTTGGTCTTCCCTGAAGGCGCAGACTTGAAGACCATCGCCTGATCAGCTCCCGAGAGGGAGCCATGCAGAGGCAGAGCCCAGACTTTGGATGAGAGCCCACCATTGCCATGTGTCAACATCTCTATCAGACGCTTTATTTCAGCAGTGCCAGGTAGGAAAACGAGGATCGCTCCACTGCTCTGCGACTTGTTTAGAACGAGATGACGCACCAGATGCAGGATAAGGTCGTAGTCGATCTTGGAATCATCAACACGCGCTGCAATCTCCTCTGACGTCATCTCGGACAGTGGTTTCTGCTTCTCCTCTTCGTCTTTTCCATCCTGTTTCTTGTTCTTCTTCTCCTTCAGCAAATACTTGGGCACTTCGTAGCGAGACTGGTCCAGAACTTCTTCCAGAAAGTTACACTCGACCGGATAGGTAAAGCCAGGGATGTCCAGCACAGGACACGGCGTGCTTGGAATCGATGAGAAATACTTGACAAACAGCTCGGAATTCATCGTAGCACTCATCAAAATCACGCGAAGGTCTCGACGTTGAGGTAGCAAGTCACGGAGAATCGACAGCAGGAAATCCGTGTCCACATTGCGCTCGTGAACCTCATCAACAATCACATGTGAGACTCCTGACAGCTGTCGATCATTGAGCAAGCGTCGAAGCAGGACACCAGTCGTGCAGAATAAAAGTCGCGTGTTTGACGACTTCTTGGCGTCCATACGGATCTGATACCCCACCACGTCAGCGATCTCTTCGCATCGTTCTTGTGCCACACGAGTGGCTACACCTATAGCGGCAATACGTCGTGGCTGAGTACAGATGATGTTGCACTCTCCGCCAGCCCCACGGTTGATGTACTCATCCAGGATAAACTGCGGGATCTGCGTCGTCTTTCCGCAACCTGTGGCGCCACAGACGAGAACAACTTGGTTGTTCTGCACACACTTGATCACCTGGGTCTCTTCCTTGCCAGCAGGAAGTTTTGCACGAGCAGCGAGCATCTGCTGGAAGTTCTGTTGACTGTCCTTCGCTCTCCTCGACTGGAGCAGCTTCTCACTCGCACGGCGAACAGCTTCCACGTCTACGCGCTTCGTCTGGGTTTTGTTGTAATTTCCAGCAGTGCCGCCCTTCTTTTTCCGATTTTTAAACTTGCTTGATGTCGCTTTAGTGGAGATTCGAGCAGGTTTTGCTGCAACCTCCTTTACAACCGACGGCTTCTTTAATAGTTGAAGTCTGGGTGGACTGCTAGCCAACCGCTTCTTGTCTTGCAAGTAGGTATCAATCGCGACGTAGATGTCGTACAGCATCGGCTCACCTCTGGAATAAATGCAGCTCTTGAGTGCTTCTCCACACGCCGCAAGGAGATGAGGCTGGTGTTGGGCCTCCGTCGATGTTAACGCCAGAAGCGGCAGTTCGTACGGATATTTGGACGTACTAGGCAGATAAACATGCAGGCGGAGCGCGTCGGTCACCTCAAATTCAAGCAGCTGAGCGTCTTCCAGTGCCGAGGCTTTGAACTTCTCGTCATAAATAGCCTCCAAGGCGAAAATCTCGTCTTGTCGTTGGTCGAACAGCTCGTCAGAAGCCTCGACAGCTCCGTCGATCTCGTCCAAACCGAAATGTCTTTTGACATGTGGGAAGAGCTTGTCCACGAGAGCGAACAGTGTAGCCATCGAAGGAATCTTCAGTTCTTCGTCACTCATATCAGAATGCTCCTGTACAAACTCAGTCGCCACCGCCGCAGCGTCGTGACGATCGTAGCCAAACTTCATCAGACGCTGCACAAGAACAGTCGTACGAGGTGACTGCTCTTCAGACGAAGCGCTGAGTACCACATCGAGTTGCGTGCCTTCCGGATTGAATTTCTTCGGCAAGTCTCCTTCAGGGATGTTCAAACACAGCCAGTCAAAGATCGCAGTCATACGCGCATCGTCAGCATTCTCATCGCCCACCGTGAAGCCGCGTGGGAAGTTCTGCAACGCTCCGTTGGTCTGCGCTGGGGTAAATCCGATCGCTTTAAGTCTCTGGGTCGCCTTCTTCCGGAACTCTTCTTCTTCTTCCAGTTCTTTCAGCTCCAAGTCGTTGTCTTCGTCCAGTCCAAGTGTTCCCTTGTTGTTCTCCTTCTGCGTCTCCCCTAGTCGCCTCAGAATTGCTTCAATGAGTTCTCTACACTGCGCACTCATCATGACCTGCTTGGGCAGATTGGCTCTCTCCCTGTTCTCCCTCGATCGTTGCTTCTTGTTCCTCTCCTGAGTGCGTGCAAGTTTCGCTGATTCAAACTCTTTATGAGACGCAAACTTCCTGTCCATCGTCAAAGTCATCAGCTTCCCATTTGTCTTCTCCACAACCTCCTCTTCGACATCTCCGCCCCAAAAATCGATGGTCTTCTCGTCTTTAGACTCAGTTTTAGTCTCTTTCTCCTCCTTTTGAGCCCTGATCCTACCTTTCTTTGTCTTCGGACCTGACCCTTTATCTGCAGGACTATCCTGAGAGCCTAATGCTAGCCACAAGTCTCGGTACGGGTCCGGTAGCTTCCTCTCGTGTGGCCGCAGTGGTTCGACGTGCTTAAGCGCCAGCAACGCGGCGCAGTGCTTAGCCTCCTCCTGCGTCTCGAACTCTTGCTCAGGGCAGAAGCTCAGGTCTTTGCTATTGTCCTTGTCGTCCGGTAGAACGCAGCGCATGCGGAACTTGGCTGAGTCTTTGCTCCGGGCTCGCGCGTAGAAGGCGTTGCGGCGCTTCTTGGACTGACAGAACTCGAGAAGCAGCTGCATGGGAGTGCGCTGCCACTCTTTGCATAGCACGCCCTGGCGCATGGTGTCCCCCTTCGACACGCTCACGGTGCCAGCACCGCGCTGCCGGTGGCCTGGTTGGCGCTGACGCCCCATTCTGGTATGTCAATCTTGGAAAAGTTGCACAGCCGATTCAAAATATTGTGAATAAAACCAAATTTGCCGAAACCTTTCCTGACATTTTATCAATATTTGTCAGATGTTGCCAGCAATGTAACGGGGTGCGTAGCCCCAAGTGTACCCCTAGTTACATGAAGTGTGACACGTCATACTTCGGGACAAATGGTACATGATACCAGGGCCAGCCATTGGCTGATGACATTGCTTTTTTTTGGTGAATTCTAGTTTGTATATTTACGTCAAGCTTAGCCTACCTAAAAATATATTCAGCTTACAACTTACTTTAAATTGGTCACTTCGCTCCCTTAGGCAAAGGGGTCAGTGAACTTCCGTTCACTGAGAGTTTGTAAGCTCTCGGAAGCCAACTTCCTCTAGCGCAAGGTGCTGTGTGACCCCGTCACACTTGGTAGCACTTGTAGACAATCCACGCCACCGCGGGTAGACTACCTGAGCTTCTCTGAAACTCGTTGCCAAGGATAGGAGCGACTTCTCCCATTTGAAGGCCTCACAGCTCGAGTCGGTTCGGAAGATGGCTGGCATCTTCAGTATGGAGGTTCTACAAAGCCTGGTGGCTTCGACACTGGCCGAGCAGCTCGAGCGTACCAATGCGTTTGACGCTTACGAGCAGGGCTCATCACACATGTGCGGGAAAACCTGCAGGCTCCGGCGGCGGAAACAAACCCGCCACACCTGAAACCAATCCGGCTGAAGGCTAAGCCGTATGAAGGGAAGGAAGATGAGAACCTTCACTTTTGGGCTCGAGAGGTAGAGCTCGCGATGGGCGCGGCCCTGATCTCGATCGAGCAGGTCCGTGTTGCTTTTGCACTCTCCAGTTTTAGCGGTCGTGCTAAGCGTTGGGTGTACACGCTGGAGGCTCTGGGCTCAGCTGTGCGAACAGCTCCGAGCCGCGTTCTTCCCGGCGAACTACGAGTACCAGCAGCGTTCGCGCTTCCTCTCATGCAAGCAAGCAAGGCGCGAGCTGCACGAGTACGTCCAAGGGATACGGGAGCTTACGGCATTCATAGTGGGAAACCCACTCAACGAACACGTTAAGATGACTGTGTTCATGAACGGCCTCCGACTGGGCCCAGCGCACACTCAGCTGTTCCGGGTGCAGTCAAGCACCCTCGAAGTGGCGATTCAAGTGGCTCTTCAGGAAGAATACAGCCTTCGCCAGGCGCGCACGCCGGCCTCAGCATGGCCTGGGAATTCTTTATCGAATTTCGGTCGAGCAAACCCCAACGGACCAGCTCCCATGGAACTCGGGTCCGCCGAGCAGCGCGACATTCGCTGCATTGGCTGCATGAAGCTGTGCCACTTCAAGCGTGACTGCCCCGTGGAGAGACTCCGCAGGCGGACTTTTCCCAAGCCCGTCTTCAAGGGTCGCTGGCAGAAGCCAGGATCCCGGGGACAGGGGAACGCCGGAGACCAGTAGGGGCGGGGCGCCCTTCTGGGGAAGAACTAAGTCTTCGTGAGGGGTGCGCGGGTAGCGCGTACAACGGGGACTTAGCCCCTGGGAGTCCTCGCACTCTCGAATCGGCGAAGAGCAGCGGCGGGTTGCTCGTAGAACACGGATGTGTACGGGGATACGATCACTCCCTTTAGATCTTGATCGATTCTGAAGCGTCGAAGAATTTCGAACGCCGCCAGACGGTTGCTCCTAATAGCAACAAGTTGTCCGATGCTTTGAGAGAAAGAAAGGACAAAGGGACGGTGTCACTGCGACTGGCCGACGGGAAGGTCGTCACTGTCCCCAACGTCCAAGGGGGTCTGTCCGCCAAGTTTGAAGAATTTGACAGTCTAGAACAGTTTACTACTCTCGACATGGAACCCTGCTATATGGCCCTGGTTCGAAAAGCACGAGCCCTGGGTCGACTGTCGAGGCAAGGCAATCGGTGCCAGCCGCCCTGTGAAGTTTGACAAAGCATTAATGAGTCAGGTTCCCAGCTCTGTCAGCACCCGGGGCGTCCGCAAGGGTTGCCAGGGTACCGAAGCATCCAGCAGATGCTTGGGAGTCGTCAACGTTTATGGTGACTCCGCGGACGCTTCGATGGTGGCGGTGGCCAGAGGAGGCACTGGCCAAATGGGTAACTTAGGTCCACAAGTGGGTAACATAGTTCCGCAGACAGCTGCATCTGTCACGAACGCTCGTAATAGCGTGTACAAGGCAGGTAACAGAGTTCCACACACGGTCGCCCAGACCTTAACTGAAAAAGAAGACGTCGGATACGTTTCCTGGGTGGGTAACATAGTAGCACACGAGGCCTCGAGTGCCTCGGATGTCCGCGCTCTGACATTCCCAGACGTGGGTAACAAAGCTCCACGTCACGGTCATCGTCGACGACGACGCCGCCGCCGCCGAGAGTTGGATCTGAACCTCGTTCAGATCGATGTCGCTTCAAGCGACTCGGCGTCCAGGGCCCGGACGCTTCCGACACAGCCAGTGGAAGTGTGCTATCACATCTTCGATGGCGAGACCGGTTTACCCGTCAAGGCATCTGGTGTCCACTTGACACCGTTGTCAGAGGTTGCAGAGATACTGAACCTCGAGGAAATGACGGTCGAATCTTTCCTGGTCAACCTCAAGGCTGGGTTGGTTGCCGAGATGGTGCTCATAAGACCTGAGGCCACTCGGTGGGAGTTATACTCCTCCTCTGCCTTGGATGATGACGTCCTGAAAGAGCTGAGCAAGTAGCGTCAGACGCGCTTGGGTTCTGAGATGCTTAAGAATCCCAATGATCCGATGAATGCTTTGGTGACGGAGTATGCGGACGTGGCTAAGAAATATTCACCGACCCAACTCCCACCGGATCGAGGCGTACGGCATGAGATCGATCTCGTGTGTGGCACGAAGTACTGTGCCACGAGACAATGGCCTCTTCCACGCGAACAGTGCAAGATCATCGGTGTCTTCTTCGCTGCGAAAGCGAAGGCAGGCATGATGTGGGGGTTGAAGTCCCCGCAGTCGACGCCAACTTTCTGCGTTCGGAGGTCGAGCGGAAAGTGGCGTCTAGCTCACGCTTATAACAAGCTGAACAACGCGACGGTGCCGACCCAGACACCAATCCCACAAAAGTATGTGTTGTTGAACAGCATGGTCGGACGCGTACTGTACAGTGCGCTGGATTTGGTAGACGGATACTATCAGATCCTGATGCGTGAGAGCGACATCCCGCTCACCGCGGTGAGTACTCCAAGCGGCATGCTATGGGAGTGACTCGTCATGCCGCAGCAACTCAAATCAGCTTCTAACACCGTTTCCACGACCACGGATTTTTACGACTGCTCATGATAGCTATAATTTTCGTCTGAGCCATGATAGCGATAATGTTCATTCGAGCCAACTGCTATAATTTTCATCTAAGCCAGCTTCGTATCCGCGTTAAGATGGCTTTTGGTCTTCTGGTTTGCAAGTGGAGAATTTTCAAGGCTTTGTTGAAGATTGCGTTTAAACGAGTCCCTTGAACAATATTAGCAGCGTGCATTCTTCATAACAGGTGCACTAACCAGCGTCTCCGCGAGAACAGAAACTAAAGAGTAAAAGAAGATGACGATTTAGCTGTGGGAGTCGAAGAAGTCAGGCTAGCACAAGATCGACCACCGGATGCATCGGTTTATCGGCGAGTCGCGTCACGATATCGATGATTGTACGACTTGTCCGACCTATCCATTGACACCGACCAATACAACAGCTCCGAGTGGGTTCCGTGATGCAATCGTTGCGTTACTTGAGCGCGGATCGATTCTGCGTCCTCGTCTCAACAGTGTCCGACGCGAGCGAGAAGATGCCGAAAACCAGTAAGTATACTGTCTCAACTTTCATTTTCGTTAAATACGAAGCATTCTCATGCAGCTCATGTCGATGTTGCTACAAACGTGTAGCCATTAATCCAGAGTCTCTAACTGCTCTTCGTAGCATTGCAAACGCGACTGATGCATGCGAAGGCTTTTGGCTTCTCCGGCGTCAGCAATTCCTTCTTGCTCCGATTTGCGGAGGTTATTTTTGACTTGGTCAATCAGTTAATGCAGCTTTGGTATCCGATCAATCAGCCGGGCCTCGTTGTCGCCCCCACCCGCGGGTTTATGTGAAGCCGCCAAAGCAGGTGACGGCGCTCCAGCAATAAAGTCGGTCATACGGCCGATCGTCTTGATGACTTGATCTTGCCATTTCACCAGGGTTTTTTTCTGGCGTACGAGCCCAATTTTCACGGATGTTTATTGAGTCAATCTCGTCGTCTGCATGCATACCATCGTACACAAATGCAGCCAACTCGGGCTTCATTTTGGTGCAGATTCGGAGACAGAGAGCACCCAAGTTGCCCTCAAAATAGGCGAAAACGTCGTCAGAGCTCTGGCCAGATACGTAGAGCTTTGAATTCGCCTTCATGTAGCTGCGGTTAATAATTTTCTACATTGGAAACAGCTTTGCCGAATCGTGCTACACGACAACGGAATGATTTATCGTTGCAAAATAAGGGTCGCTGGCGGCGTCATCGTAGAGATTGTTGAAATCACTCGTGTTGTTGCGAAACCTAACGCCAACATCCTGCCAGAATATCTGACCTTTTCTACGTCGAGTTGTTCGCGCGTTGCCGCGTCAGCTGATACACCTAGGCGCTTCCCGAATTGGTCGGAAAATATAACGTTTAGAAGTCGATGAAGTGAGCAAATTATCCCAGAACACAGAGGTTCTTCCTGCTCTGGCGCCTCGCACCGGGTATATTTTGGAATGAGAAGGTTTACCCCTTGGTTCCCGGCGAAATGTATCGAAAACGAGATAAATAATGTCGTAACTTACGACATGTCCATGTCACTACTTGTTTGTATGTGGCATATGCTCGACGTGCGTATAGGTGTATAAGTTTTTGACAGGTTGCTCTCTCAGAAGTCGTAAGTTATACTACTTAGTAGCTAGCAGAAAACACTGTATGTCGTAAGTTGCCCCACATTAGAAAGTACAGCGGGAAGATCTGCTG